ACCGGCAGCATGGAAAAAAAGAAGCATTTCTTTATAACAACTCAATGTCACCCAATCTTTCAGATCTTATAAACATGAGAGATAATTCGATCATGTTCCAATATTGATACCAGAGGTTAGAAGTTTTGCTAGAATTTGATAATATGTTAAATTTTTCAACAATTTTCTAACGAATTTTTGCAGCTATAGGTTTGAATGTTGTAAGATCACAAGAATTGAGGTTTTCAGTATAATTTTGTAGACTGCTTTCATCATTATAAGTTCAAAGTTGCTACAATTGTAATAACTTAGCAACACTGCTGATGATCGCTATTGTAGCGCTACGTCCTCATGAACAGGTAGGTATCATGTGTTTTTCAATTTTTATATATAATTGGAGCTGTATTGGCCCATTATTTAAAGACCCATAAGTTCTTTGTTTTTAGGCCGATTTTCAAAAACAAAAAACAATTTTGTAGGTATTTTTATTTGCAACAATTTTGTTCTCCTGTAGATTTTTGAAAAACTTTATAGTTTTTGAGATATTTCCAAAGAAATTAAAAAAAAACACAATTTTTTGAGTTTGAAGCCCGATTGGGCGAGTACGGCCCATGCGATTTTTAAGGAAACATTGTCGACCACCTGAGGAAGGTATCCTGAAAATTTCAGCTTGTCCCAAATTTGTTCCGGGTTGCCCCATGTAAACACCTTAGTTTTACTAGCCGTTTCAAAATGGTTTTAAACCAATGTCAAAAAAGTGGATGCGACAAAACGGCTCTGGATTCCCTATAGGTCATCTATTCTGAAAACAGGGGATAAGCGACTAGCGAGAAATGAGAACGAAGGTTCTGTCTTAATTGCCCATATTTCTATTTCCATAAGACAGAGCAATCGTTCTTTCTCGTGAGAACGTTTCTTCCCGGTCTCGAGAATAGGCATCCTGGACAACGTTGCCGTCTCTTTCAAAATTTAATTTTCGATTTTTTCTTTTATATCTACGAGCATATTTTTTTTATTCGTTTTTAGCGGTCTCTTTAGAATCTGGTTGTGTGGGGGCCCCTCAGCTCTGGGGGCCCGACGCAGAGTGCGTCGTTTGCTTCATGCTAGAACCGCCACTGAATTTTATAATGAAAATGAAAAATTTTAACCAACGTGAAAAAAATTTCTACAACACATACAACATTTTTGCTTTATGAAGTTTTTTCTCACCCCCTGCCGTTTTTCAATAGGGGTAGTTTAAAGTTTTTTTATTTTTTTACAAAAAAAAATGTCTCCTAAGTCACTTGAGAATTTATACCACTCGGCCTGACGGCCTCGTGGTATAAATCTTTCTCGCGTGACTTATTTTCAACATAACACACTAGTACCATAAATAACTATTAGTGCCGCTCGTATTTTTACTGTCGCTCAATCATCCACTTGCCCCCGAGCTTACCCCATTTGTTTGAAGAAGTTACTGTGACAGATATTTTTGCTGAGTATGTTAAAAGGAGCTCCTCACGTCGAAAAATTAGCAGGGGTTCATTGGATTCGCAGTGTAATGATTCTGTCGAACTGGATTTGAACACCCCCAAACAGATTCTAAGAGCAGTGCACCGTATTTTGTTTTTTTTAGGGTAGATTTGCTGGCAAAGGAGTAGACAAAACTTCCATAGTCTAATTTGGATCTGATTAGACCCCTGAATACCCTGAACAGTACTGTGTCTTACGTTCCCCAATGACGATTCGCTAAGGTTTTTAAAATGTTCATTCGTCTCATGCAGTCAGCCTAAGTTCATCTATATGCTTCTTCCAAGTTTAGTTTACAATCAAAATTAATCCCAGAGTATTTCAAAACTTTCTACCACTTATAGAGGGACTTGATTCATAGTTATATATGCGGAACATATCGTGTTTGTCTTCTAAATCTAATTATTTTTGTTTTGGAGCTTGAGAATTTGAAGCCGGTCTATAAAGCCGGTTGCTATTGAACAATTTTGAAGATTATTAATTGCATTTTGTAAAAGAACCGTTGTAGATGTTGATTTCTACCTGTACAATACAGTATAAGGATAAGGTCATCTGCATAAAGGGCATACTTTACTGATGCACTAACTGATTCACAAATGTCATTTATTGCTAAATTGAAAAGGGAAGTAAGTACTAAAAACTGTACTTTGAGGAACGCCGTCTTCTAGGGTAAGCATCTGTGACATAATTCCATTAACAGATACTTTGTGATGTTCTGTTTGCAAGAAAGTTCTTGATAAATGCTAAAATGTTTTCAGCAAGATTGATTTCGGTTAATTTCTTGTATATCAGTGGTTTTACTCCACAATTTTAGCACGACTTAAAAACAAAGTCATATGAGATCAAACTAGCCAGAGCGTTGTTTAATTGGTCCAAATCACCAACAACCAGTTTTCTGACTATTTTCAACCAATGAAATTTGGTTTATGATTTCTGTGAAAACAGACCATGTAGGCAGTAGGAATGCGTAGAAGTGTCACTGTCCATGTATCCAAATTGGAACATTTAATTTTATATTTTTACCACACTGTACAGGGTGAGTCATTTTGGGTGGGAATGACGGGTACAGCCTAAACGGCGATAGCTACAAAAAATCTAATATACGAGTCGCGATCTATTTTTTCGAGTATAGTTTAGTGGATCACTCAGAATTTTTCGGAATTCATTTGTTTTCGATATACAGGGGTTTTTTGGAAAATGGCTGGTTTCTGTTTTTCTCTGTAGCTCAGTTGTTATCAAAAATTTAAGAAAATGTTAAATTACGTTTTTGTGTAATTTTCTACGTAGAATCCAGTGGCGTATTCAGATTTTTTTTAGGGGTATATTTTTTTTTTTTAAGATATACCACACCAGTGCGGTACCGCGGGAGGGGCAGTGTGGATTAAAATATGTGGCGGGTCATGTAAGTGAAATCACGCTTTAGGATAAAATGTATCATCTCCCACCATATTTTCTAATCCCGTGTCGTTGGCGCCCTTGCTCCCGCTACCGCCGAACCACGTTTGTGTTTGGGAGGTAAAATACCCCAAAAATATAGTTTTATCGCGTTTTTGACAGTTAAAATTAATCAAACTATAAAGTGTTATATATCGTTACAATCACAAAAAAACATCTAATTTAACGGTGTAAAAATATATAGGGTGTCCCATTTAAAAAAGTTAAATTTTGGACTATATCTTAAAAAAAAATACCCCTAAAAAAAATCTGAATACGCCACTGGATTCTACGTAGAAAATTACACAAAAACGTAATTTTTGATAACAACTGAAATACAGAGGAAAACAGAAACCAGCCATTTTCCAAAAAAAAACCCTGTATATCGAAAACAAATGAATTCCGAAAAATTCTGAGTGATCCACTAAACTATACTCGAAAAAATAGATCGCGACTCGTATATTAGATTTTTTGTATCTATCACCGTTTAGGCTGTACCCGTCATTCCCACCCAAAATGACTCACCCTGTACATATTGGAATTAATTAATTATAAGCAACCTACTTTTCATTATTGCAAATGACGATCATCGATATGTGCAAAATCAATTTATTGTATATAAAAGGCGATCAATTTCATTAATAAAATCAGATTCAAACTTATTGTTGTTTCTCTTACTTAAATTGTGCCCAAGTCACCATTGGCCTAGCAACGCTAGTAGGTTTGTGAGACTGCGCTCTAACAATTACCTTTCTTTAGCCTTATTGTAGCAGGTGCTCTGTCTGGTTACGTAAGGCCCTTCTTTAAACCTGTAGCAAGTGCTTTGTCTGGTTACAGGTTTTAATTTAACCCTTATAGCAAGTGCTTTGTCTGGCTGGGGTTTTCTTTCCAACTTACCTACAAGTGCTTTAGTCTGGTTGTAAGTTACCTATCTTATCCTAAACCATCAGGATCAAGCAGAAAATACCATCCAGAGAAACACAGTCTCCTGTACGCTCCAGGACAGCCACATATAAAAAAATAATTCACCAAGAATTTCAACTTTAGTGTCGAAATTTCAAGAAAAAGATTGAAGTTTCGAAATAAAAGTTGAAATTTCGACTCCAAAGTCGAAGTAGGTACCGGTACCAAGAACTTATTTTCACTTCAAAGTCAAATTTTCGTACGACGACTCAAAATACATAAATCAGGGTGACAATTTGAAAAGTAGCATTCGGGAATATCTCTTTTGGGCCAGTTTATTCACTTTCTGATAAATTGTCAGGCATGCAATGTGACGGATAATAACGAAATTTGCAATCCCATTGGACGGCCAGTCATCCGACAACCAATAGAATTAGAGAACGGTAAATTTACTTGCAGATAGTTACCAGCAAGTTTATCAGAAGATGAATAAACCGGACGTTAGACAAAAAATACTATCAGGAAGATCTCAAATACGTATCAGGAGATTTGAAGGGGAACAGAAATGAGGCATTTTTGAGTCACTCCGCCTCCCATAAGGTAGGTTCGTAATAAGAAAAAATAAGTAATAGAATTTTTTGTCTAAGAGATATTCGGATATTCTCGATTGCTATACTTTTCAAATTGTCATCCTGTATATATTTTAAGTCATTGACTTGTTGATGGATACGAAATTTCGATTTTTTTCTCAAAATTTCAACTTTTTTCTTAAAATTTCGACATTAAAATCAAAGTAGATTATTTTTCTATACGTGGCACTTCTACGCCTTCGTACTAAACGTACTGCGGCTCAGATTGACTTCAGATTTGTTGTTTTTTTTAAGGAAATATTTCAATTATGGATTCCTGGAAATTTCAAATTACTCAGATTCTTGGAAGTATTTTTGAAAAATTTCTAAAATTGATTTGTTAAGAATTTTACAAGGATTTTTTTTAGAATTCATATAATACATTTCTGAAGCTCAAATTGACTTCAGATTTGTAGTATTTGAAGAGAAAACTTCAATTATGAATTCCTGAAAGTTTCAAATTGCTCAAATTCCTGAAAAAAAAAATAAAAAAAAAAACACAAAACTTGCCAAAAGAAACTAATTTATTTACAGACCCACAGAAGAAGAAAATATATATATAGCTCAAACAAACTAAGTAGCATAAGATAGAAAATTATTGACAAAGAGAGACAAATAATTTGCATGGACAACAAAACAAGTAAGTCTAACAAAAAAATCAATTCGTTTTATATTATTACAAAAAAATTATCACTTAATTTAATGTGAAACGAAAACTTAATCTTAAATTCTTAAATGTTAAAAATAGAATAAGAAAATCAAGGGCCAACATTGTAATAATTCAATAAATACATACAGGGTGTCCCACCATGTTTTTCCCAGGTAATAACTTCGGAACCCGTCATCCAATATAATTGAAATTTTGAGAATCTGGGTAACTTTTTGTGCCGCTTCTACCATTGTCATCCAATTCCACCTCTTTCGCTTCAATTTCGGTCGAGAGACGTCAGCTTTCGAATCTAACTCATGGTTATGGCATTTTTCGTTAGAAAATTAAATTTAATACCATATTTGTCAAGAAAATTATAAAAAATTATTCAGTTCCGAAGTTATCATTTCGAAAACACCTCGTGGGACACCCTGTATATGGGTAAATTAATTTTGTAAAACCAAAAAAAAAAAAAAAAAATTGTTTCCAATTTATAAAAATCAAAATTTTTATTGTCTTAAAATCAAACATTACAACATTAGCCCTTAGAAATTAACAAATTATACGTAAACACAACATTTAAGTCAACCCCGAAAACCTGGTAGACAAAAAAATCGAAGTCACTTGCGGCGTCACCCGATTTATCGGGAAAAATTGTCTAACAGGGTCCGAAGCTTCGATTTGCAAATTCCTAATCAAAGCCTGAATTTCCGGATTCAAAGTCAATCGGAACCGTTCGATGTTGTGCGGGTAAGTTTGACCGTTGGTCGAAGGTGCGAAATTAGGTACTTGAATTGTCAAATTGTTTGCGTTGCGAGGCAACCCGAGTCTGGCCGAAGGATGGTTCCTGCGCAAGCGCACTGGGCAGGTGTTGTTGACGATTTGCGCGCGCACTCGCTGCATACGATTCTGCGCAAGGTTTATGTGGTATCTTTGGTCGTGTAAGCGTTTCAGACCAAAACGTCTGCGTGTAGTCTGAAATAGAAGAAAAATAAATAAACTTGGCAACATCAGCTGTCAATTGATGATAATCAAGATATGTCAAAAAGTCGTAAGGATTTTCAAAAAAAATTACATTCAAAGATGTTGAAAGAAATATTTTGCATCAAATAGAATTTTATTTTAAGGACGCCACTGTTTCATATTGACATTATTTTCATGTAAAATAGAATTCTGGATGTCACTTAGATAGAATTCTATTTTCCATTACTTACGATCCGGATAATTGGAATATTTTTAAATTTTTTGCAAGATTTTTTCAACAAAGAAAATTAAGTTTCTAATTTTTGATTAAATTTTTTTTTTTTTTTTTGTATAAAAAATACATAGGTAATGCCTAGAATATGGATTTTCGATATCGATTGTCGACCAGTATCGATATTTTGCAATCGCCTGGAATCTTAAAAAAAAAATAATGTTCTAAATGAAAATCGATTTTTTGGATCGCCGGAAATAAAAAATCGATAAAAATTGCAATTATCGAAATATTTTGATCGATTCGTATCGATTTTTCAAATGTCAGAAATCGATTAATCGATAGAAAAAAAACATATTATCATTAGATATCAATAAGAATTGATTTTTTTTAATTTCAAGTGCCTGAAACTAATTAAAATGCATTTTTGATACTGATATTGATTGTCGACCAGTATCGATATTTTCCGATCGCCCTAAATCGATACAAAAATTATTTCCGAAATAAAAATCGATTTTTCGGATCGCCGAAAATAAAAAATCGATAAAAATTGCAATTATCGAAATATTTCGATCGATTCATATCGATTTTTCAAATGCCAGGAATCGATAAATCGATAGAAAAAAAATACATTTTATCGTTAGATATCGATACGAATTGATTTATTTTGAGTGCCCTGAATTGATAAGAAATGCATTTTCGATATCATCGACCAGTATTGATATTTTCCGATCGCCTAGAATCGATAAAAAAATATTTTTCGAAATCAAAATCGATTTTTTGTAGTGCGGGGAATAAAAAATCGATAAAAATTGCAATAATCGAAATATTTAGATCGATTCGTATCGATTTTTTAAGTGCCAGAAATCGATAAAAAATACATTTTATCATTACTTAGATATCGATAGGAAATGATTTTTTTTTAATTTCGAGTACCTGGAATTGATAAAAAATGCATTTTCGATATTGATTGCCGATCAGTATCGATATTTTCCAAGCGCCTAAAAACAATAGAAATATTATTTTTGAAATCAAAATCGATTTTTCGGAGCGCCGAAAATAAAAAATCGATAAAAATTGCAATTATCGAAATATTTCAATCGATTTTCGAAATGTCAGAAATCAAAAAATCGATAGAAAAAAATGCATTATATCGTTAGATATCGAAATCGATAAAAAATGCATTTTCGATATTGATTACCAATCAATATCGATATTTTCCAAGAGCCTGAAATCAATAGAAATATTATTTTTGAAATCAAAATCGATTTTTTAGAGCGCCGGGAATAAAAAATCGATAAAAATTGCAATTATCGAAATATTTCGATCGATTCGTATCGATTTTTTCAGTGCCAGAAATCATAAATCGATAGAAAAAAATGAAAAAATACATTTTATCGTTGGATATCGATAAGAATTGATTTTTTTTTAATTTCAAGTGCCTGAAATTGATAAAAAATGCATTTTCGATATTGATTGTCGACCAGTATCGATATTTTCCGATAGCCTGAAAACGATAAAAATATTATTTTCGAAATCAAATTCGATTTTTCGGAGCGCCGCGCCGGGAATAAAAAATCGATAACAATTGCAATTATCGAAATATTTCGATCGATTCGTATCGATTTTTCAAGTACCAGAAATCGATAAATCGATAGAAAAAAATGCATTTTATCGTTACATATCGATAGGAATTGATTTTTTCTATGTTGAAACATTATAAACTTGTTGGAACTTCATAAAAATTCGTTGGAACGTTAAAAAAACTTGTTGAAACATCATAAAAAAATTGTTGAAATATTCAAAAAAATTTGGAATAAATTTTAACAAGTGTTGCAATATAAAGAACTCCTTGGAACATTATAAAACCTGATTGAAACGTTTCAAAAACTATTTAAAAAATATAAAAAAGTCAAAAAAACAAAATAAATAAACACCAAAGAGTATTTTTCAACATGTTAAAACATTATAAACTCGTTGAAACAACATAAAAACTCGTTGAAACGCTCTAAAATCTTGTTGAAACATCATGAAAAAATCGTTAAAATATTTAAAAAAAATTTAAATAAATTTCAACGACCGTTGCAACATTATAAAATCGTTAGAACATTATAAAACTAATTGAAACGTTCCAAAAACTATTTAAAAAATATGTATTAAAGTCCAAAAAAAAAAATTAAATAAACATCGAATAATATTTCTCAATATGTTGAAACATTATAAACTTGTTGAAACATCATGAAAACATCGATAAAATATTCCATTTTTTTAAAAATAAATGTCAACGAGTGTTACAACATTATAAAATCATTGGAACGATATAAAAACTAATTGAAACGTTTCAAAAACTGTTTAAAAAATATTAAAAAGTCAAAAAAACAAAATTAATAAACACTAAAGAATATTTTTCAACATGTTGAAACATTATAAACTTGTTGGAATATCATAAAAACTCGTTGGAACGCTCTAAAACCTTGTTGAAACGTTATAAAAAAATCGTTAAAAATATTCAAAAAAAAATTAAATAAATTTCAACGAGCGTTGCAACATTATAAAATCGTTGGAACATTAAAAAACCAATTGAAACGTTTCAAAAACTATTTAAAAAAATTAAAGTCAAAAAAAAAATTAAATAAACATCAAAGAATATTTCTCAATATGTTGAAACATTATAAACTTGTTAAAACATCATGAAAACATCGATAAAATATTCCATTTTTTTTTTTTAAATAAATGTCAACGAGTGTTACAAGATTATAAAATCATTGGAACGATATAAAAACAAAGTTTTCCTGAAAAAGTAGTGAAGGGAAAATTTTGAAACTTTTTGCATGTAAAGAGAGAGGTTAGAAGCTCATTGTCCCAAAATTTCAAATTTTTTCAGTGGAAAATAACAACATAAGGAATATTGGAAATCAATCTACGATAACTGAATTAATTGAAAATACAGTCTCACACATTTCAAAGTTTTCCTGAAAAAGTAGTGAAGGGAAAAATTTGAAACTTTTTGCATGTAAAAAGGAAGGTGAGAAGCTCATTTTCACAAAATTTCAAATTTTTTCAGTGGAAAATAACAACATAAGGAATATTAGAAATCAATCTACAATAATTGAATTCTTAATTGAAAATACAGTCTTACACATTCCAAAGTTTTCCTGGAAAACTAGTGAAGGGAAAATTTTGAAATTTTTTGCATGTAAAGAGGAAGGTGAGAAGCTTATTTTCCCAAAGTTTCAAATTTTTCCAGTAGAAAATAACAACCTGAAAAATTTTGGAAATCATACTACAAAAACTGAATTAATTGAAAATACAGTCTCACACATTTCAAAGTTTTCCTGGAAAACTAGTGAAGGGAGAAACTTGAAACTTTTTGCATTTAAAGCCTAAGGTGAGAAGGTCATTTTCCAAAAGTTTCAAATTTTCCCAGTAGAAAATAACATCATGAAAAATCTTGGAAATCAACTTACAAAAACTGAATTATTTGAAAATACAGTCTCACACATTTCAAAGTTTTCCTGGAAAACTAGTGAAGGAACAAATTTGAAACTTTTTGCATGTAAAGAGGAAGGTTAGAAGCTCGCTTTCCCATAAGTTCAAATTTTTCGAGTGGAAAATAACAACATGAGGAATATTGAAAATCAACCTACAATAACTGAATTAATTGAAAATACAATCTCACACATTTCAAAGTTTTCCTGAAAAACTAGTGAAGAGAAAATTTTGAAACATTTTGCATGTAAAAAGGAAGGTAAGAAGCTCATTTTCCCAAAATTTCAAATTTTTTCAGTGGAAAATAACAACATAAGAAACATTGGAAATCAACCTACAATAACTGAATTAATTGAAGATACAGTCTCACACATTGCAAAGTTTTCCTGAAAAAGTAGTGAAGGGAAAATTTTGAAACTTTTTGCATGTAAAGAGAGAGGTTAGAAGCTCATTGTCCCAAAATTTCAAATTTTTTCAGTGGAAAATAACAACATAAGGAATATTGGAAATCAATCTACGATAACTGAATTAATTGAAAATACAGTCTCACACATTTCAAAGTTTTCCTGAAAAAGTAGTGAAGGGAAAAATTTGAAACTTTTTGCATGTAAAAAGGAAGGTGAGAAGCTCATTTTCACAAAATTTCAAATTTTTTCAGTGGAAAATAACAACATAAGGAATATTAGAAATCAATCTACAATAATTGAATTCTTAATTGAAAATACAGTCTTACACATTCCAAAGTTTTCCTGGAAAACTAGTGAAGGGAAAATTTTGAAATTTTTTGCATGTAAAGAGGAAGGTGAGAAGCTTATTTTCCCAAAGTTTCAAATTTTTCCAGTAGAAAATAACAACCTGAAAAATTTTGGAAATCATACTACAAAAACTGAATTAATTGAAAATACAGTCTCACACATTTCAAAGTTTTCCTGGAAAACTAGTGAAGGGAGAAACTTGAAACTTTTTGCATTTAAAGCCTAAGGTGAGAAGGTCATTTTCCAAAAGTTTCAAATTTTCCCAGTAGAAAATAACATCATGAAAAATCTTGGAAATCAACTTACAAAAACTGAATTATTTGAAAATACAGTCTCACACATTTCAAAGTTTTCCTGGAAAACTAGTGAAGGAACAAATTTGAAACTTTTTGCATGTAAAGAGGAAGGTTAGAAGCTCGCTTTCCCATAAGTTCAAATTTTTCGAGTGGAAAATAACAACATGAGGAATATTGAAAATCAACCTACAATAACTGAATTAATTGAAAATACAATCTCACACATTTCAAAGTTTTCCTGAAAAACTAGTGAAGAGAAAATTTTGAAACATTTTGCATGTAAAAAGGAAGGTAAGAAGCTCATTTTCCCAAAATTTCAAATTTTTCCAGTAGAAAACAGCAACATGAAAAATCTTGGAAATAAACCTACAAAAACTGAATTAGTTGAAAATACAGTCTCATACATTTCAGAGTTTTTCTGAAAAACTAGTGAGGGGAAAATTTTGAAACTTTTTGCACGTAAAGAGGAAGGTGAGAAGGTCATTTTCCCAAAATTTCAAATTTTTTCAGTGTAAAATAACCGAGAAAATAATATGAAAAATCTTGGAAATCAGCCTACAAAAACTGTATACCTACACTATCATTTTTTGAATTTTTTAAATTTGGACCTGTAAATTATGTAATGTAATTTTGGGAGGATTTCTTTAATAAAAATAAATATCTAACATCCAACACAAAACTAGATTTTTTTTTTAAATTTCCATTTATTACTATTTCTTATAATAAGAATGTGAATTTCAGTGACGTCATGACTACAATTTCCTTTAAATTCTTCACAAAATCCTCCCAAATTCCCCATAAATTCTTCCAAATTCCCTATAATGTTCTCAAATTCTCATTAATTCCGATGAGTTCCTTCAAATTCCCCACAAATTTCTCTAAATTTCCCACAAATTCCTCTAAATTCCCCACATTTTTAGCAAAGAATTCCTAGGTGATTCACCCCTTGTAATTATTTTTGATTCCAAAGGAAAAATATCTGAAAAATATCCATTTAATCTAAGAAAATCCAAAGAAATTTTAATTTAAATGAGAAGTTCCAAAGAAGATTCAAACATATTTAAGAAGATCCAGAGAAGTTTTGAGATATTCAAATCCACTTTTGATTAATTTTTTCGTATAAAAAATACTTTAATTTGTAAATTCTGAAAAAATAAAGTTACTGTGACAAGTGGAAATATTTTTTACAGAAAATTTTGGAAGATTTCTTCCTAACATCAACATGGAAAAGGTTCCTAATCTTGTAAATTCTGAAAAATTAGAGTTACTGTGACAGTTGAAAGTATTTTTTGAAGAAGGAAGTATTTTTTGTATATTGAAAATTATACAATATACTTCAATTTGAAGCTAATTACATTAAAATTATCAAAATATGTTTCTGATACTGCAAAAAATTTTGAAGCTAAAATGCTCCAAATGCATCACAAAGAGCTAAGGATTTTGAGACAGTAACATATTTAAAAATCAGTTACTTACCCCTCCATTGACGACACTAGCCCCACTGTTATAAAGCCGACGTTTGACACTCTGCCTCTGAACTCCATTTGAAGTTGTAGCGGTTGGCTTTGGTGCAGGCCTTGGCCCCATGCGCCTCACCCTTACAACCCCTAATCTTTGACGCACAGGCCCTTTTTCCTCTAAAGTCTGTTGTCGCCGAATGAACACTTCGTGGGCTCTTTGCATTTTTTCAGTGTGCAGCCTGACTTGTTCTAAGTTTTTTTCGAGTCTTTCTGGGTCTAGTGATTCTTCTTCTGGATCTATGATGCCGTTGCTAATGGGATTTTCTTCGGACATTGTGTCTTCCTCTTTTATAGATTCGAGTCCTAAGTGGACTTCTTGGCTGGTGTCGACTCTACGACGTCTAAGACGAACCACACCTAATAATATAAATTTGAGGGACTTTAATAAGCTGGAATGAGTCTGTTTTGATAATTTTCAGCATTTTTTTTTATTTCAAAATTGTTGCTATTTTATGGTAAAATAGAAATAAAACAACAATTTTATGAAAACATAAAAAGTTAGGTTAGAATAACTAGAATAAGGTAAATTGATTTGATACTTTTTCAAGGTAGATAGGAACGAACTGATGCATAAAAATACTGAAAATAAACTAAAAATTACGTGCTTTTATGGAAAATGCCCCATTTTAAACCCAAAATTTAAACAAAATACAACAAAACAACAACACTAACCTGTCTCCATTTTCACCACTATTTTTTAAACAAAGTACGTAGATGAAGAGATTTTTGCCTCTATTTTTTTTATCTTATCAGCATGGGATACAATATATTAACCACAAAATAATGCAAAAATATAATAAACTGTAAAAATGCTGATTTTTGTAGCCATAAAAATATAATAATGGGGGGGAGCACAGCACTGGAGGCAATGCAATGTCAATTGTCATTATTGTCAATGTGGTAGCAAGAAAAAAAAGAAATCTGTAACCATTGAAGAAATCAGTGGCATGTAAAATATTCAAAGTTGAGTTGTAAAAATTGTAGAGAGCGCTTCTGTACTTGCAACTTTTAAAATTATTCTGACTGTCCCAACTGCACTGACTCTTTTTGATCTGTTCAACTGTCCGAACTACTTTGAATGTTCTAATTCTGTTCCATTTGCACTAACTCGATTTAAATCACTCTTAAGCATTTCATCTACATTAATTCTATTTAAATTTCTTCTATTGTTTGAGTTACTTTAACTGTTGCAATTGCTTTAATTTCTGTTTCATCTATACTAACTCTGTTCTGTTTGCACTGCTCAGATTTACTATAACCAGTAGTCTGATTTGAAAATTAATTTTGGGTTATTAGTAATTTTACTCTGACTATTTTAGAGTGGATTAGTAGTACCCAAAAAGACTTAAGAACGGTGGAAAATACAGAGTGAATGATGAATGTTTTAACTTATTTGAAAAACCTTACTCTAGAGTGAGTTTTTAAAATTGTTTGGAACAACTCAGAGTAGCAAATCAATTGAGGAAAATGCCTTTTTGGAACATTTTTTTGACACCAATTCAGGGCCACTTGTCGAACAAAAAGTTCAAATTGAACATAGGGCTCCAAAAAACTCTAAGGGCGGGTATTATAAAACTGCTTTGACAGTTAACTTGAAGTTAACTTTTTGAATTACATGTAATTCCAGAAGTTAACTTTAAGTTAACTCTCAAAGTAGTTTTATAATACCCGCCCTAAATGAAGAACTCGCCTCGAAGCTGTTCCATAGTGAGTTTGTAGAAGTACTCTGTATAACTTGGAACAATAAAAAATGCAGAGTGATCTTTTGAATAGTGTTCGGAATTATTTCTAATGAAAAGAATCTTGCTCCAGAGTGAGCTTTAAGACTGTTCGAAACAACTGAATAGGATGAAAAAACAATAAAAAGTAGGTCAATTAACATTTGAACAGAACTATTTTGACTGTGTACGACATTGAACTAATTCTGGAGTTGTGCCGAGACGATTCAAATCAGCCCCAGAATACGGCCAGTGTACCCTAGAACAATTATGGCCTGAAATAAATTCAGAAAATATTGGGTTTTTAGCAGAGATGGGCATCTACGTGTAAACAAAGATTGTCTACGTCTGGTGTAAACAACGCGTAGACAATGTAAACTATGTAATCTATGTAGACAATGTGTAAAATATGTAAACAACGCGTAAAGTATACAATTTTTGACAGTTGGCAGGCCTTTAAGGTTATGTTTCCGTTTTTGCTTTGTTTTGTTTTTTGCTTTGTGAAGTTGATTAAACTGCAGATAATATCTAATTTGTTGCAATATAAATTTAATGCAATGCAAACTTTCAAAAAAATTACTCAAATTTCAAATTTTCTGTCTACATAGTTTACATATAGTTTACATGGAAAAAAGTGGATGTAAACAATACGTAGACAACGAGTAGACAAACCGCGTAAAGTAGATTTCATAGTCTACGGCACATCCCTGGTTTTTAGTATTTCTACTCTGATTGTTCCAAGTGCACTGATTCCTTTTTCATCTGTTCAACTCTCCGAACTACTTTGACTGTTCTATTTTTATTCCATTTGCACTAATTCGATTTGAATTACTCTTAGGGCGGGTATTATAAAACTGCTTTGACAGTTAACTTGAAGTTAACTTTTTGAATTACATGTAATTCCAGAAGTTAACTTTAAGTTAACTCCAATGAACTATAGCTAAAAACTGGAATGCGCACACATTGCCATATCTGCCAAAAAAATGAAGCCATGAAAGACAGATGCCACAAGGGGGAATGTTGTTTTTTTCTGTTACTCGCTGACATATGACGACGTTTTCGAAAGTTTTGTCATATTTCTCTTCACAGGTTTCATCACTTGGAATACGTGTTGGAAGCAATTTTCGCCATTTAACATAATGAGTGCGACAAAAACAGATATCCCCTCCGCAGCAGCCGCACTAAGCTTCAAGTTCGTCCTTATGTGTTAGCATTCCAGTTTTTGGTTATAGTTCATTGGCTAACTCTCAAAGTAGTTTTATAATACCCACCCTTAGCATTCTATCTGCATTAAGGGCGGGTATAGTGGCGACGCGTGACCAGTAGTCTGGGGGGGGGGTAAATGGTACGGGAGGCTGAGGGGGCGCCCTCCAAAAACGCGCCGCAGGCGAAATTTTTCGCAAATTTCAAGATCATTCACTTTTCTAGAACAATTATTTCATCTGTGAAAAAAATAAAACAAAACAAAAATGTATTTTCTTCAATATGTTATGTATTTTCTTTTTGGCATCATGATTTTTCTCTTGATAATTCGATCCTGGGGGGGGGGGGGGGGTAATTACCCCCAGTACCCCCCCGACGCGACGCCCCTGGGCGGGTATTATAGAACTGCTTTGACAGTTAACTTTTGAAGTTAACTTTTTGAATTAATGTAATTCCAGAAATTAACTTTAAGTTAACTCTCAAAGTAGTTTTATAATACCCACCCTTAGGGCGGGTATTATAAAACTACTTTGAGAGTTAACTTAAAGTTAACTTCTGAAATTACATGTACCACCCTAAGGGCGGGTATTATAAAACTACTTTGAGAGTTAACTTAAAGTTAACTTCTGAAATTACATGTAATTCAAAAAGTTAACTTCAAGTTAACTGTCAAAGCAGTTTTATAATACCCGCCCTAATTCTATTTGAATATTCTCTAATTGTTCAAGTTATTCTAAGGGCGGGTATTATAAAACTGCTTTGACAGTTAACTTGAAGTTAACTTTTTGAATTACATAATGTAATTCTAGAAGTTAACTTTAAGTTAACTTCAAAGTAGTTTTATAATACCCGCCCTAAATGTTTCAATTGCATTAATTCCTGTTTCATCTGCAATAACTCTGTTCTGTTTGCACTGCTCCGATTGTTATTGTTCGAACTACTCTAATAGCGACTATAAACATGAATTTATTCACTATAAAGGTACGGTTTGTTAGGATAGTACGCGACGCATAACTGACAACGTAAACGTCGTTATTGGTTCAGGTATGACGTACACCCGTTTTCTGACGTCAGAAAACGGGTGTACGTTTGGTGTACGTCATATCTGAACCAATGACGACGTTTACTTTATCAGTTGTGCGTCGCGTACTATCCTAACAAACCGTACCTTAACAATCAATGAATGTATTTAAATAATAGTAGGTTGATTTGAAAATTAATAAATTTGGCATGTAATATTCTATTGAGTTGTAGAAGGCGCGAAACACAAATAATACGTCAAACTAAACTTTGGAGGTTAAATAAAATTATGCTCGGTTATTCACATTGAGGTAGTTAGAAAATGCGGATGGACAATGCGGCCCTGATCAAGGTTATTTGAGAGAAGTAGGTTGCCTGATAACTTTTATGACGTCATCTGGTATGCCTAAACATAATGCAAATCTCCATGAGGCCAGTGGCGCAGCATGGGCTATTGTCGCCCGGGGCGGAATCATAGTTTGCCGCCCCCTTGCCATCATAAAAAAAAACGGACTGGGTTTGGTAATAGACCTATCTATTTTTACCTGTATGCGCGCGCAACACGAGGCAATGCATTTTTATTGGCTAACTAGTACAGGTGTAAAGTAATCCTTTTGCACACTGGGCATCTCCTTATCCTTGTTCATTGCCCGTGGTCTGACAAGGATAAAATTTTGCTTCATATTCAACTTGACGTAGCTTGACAAGTGATCGATTTTCAATTGTTTGTGTTTTTGATTGACAAATACGTTGCATGTTACGCGGTTTTCCTCCTTCCTTTTTTATCCCGTGCAAATAATAAAAACGGATTGCTATACGTAAGTCTAACATAATTTGGTACGTTTTGCCTCGTCTTGCGCAATAAGCGTTCTGTGTCTTTTTCTATCTAATAAAGTTTTCATATTATTATCTCTTTGTCTGGTAAAATAGATAGGTCTATTGCATCTGCGAGCAAAAAGAGCAAATTTTGACAGACGACGTCACGTGATCACTTATCTTTTTTCACGTGTCAAATCACGTAATATCTGTCAAATTTTGCTCGTAAATGCAAATACCGAAGCAGCCACGGTGTGCGCTCCACACAACAGATGAGAAAACTCCAAAAATCAATAAAACGTAGGTAAACAAACATCACAGATGCTTAACAATTGCCGCTAGTAGCCTATCCAAAACACGTGACTTTGACAAGCAAACACAGGGTTTGTGTGCCTCTTGGCGGACATTTATAAATTCAAGTTTGACAGCATCTTGGATATAGCCTGTCCAAAACATGTGAGTTTGACAAGCAAACAAAAGGTTTGATGTGTCAAGAATCGTAAACTCTACAGGATTGCTCATGGCCATTTGCACCGCTATCACTTAAGGGATATTAAGGGATATTTAATTTAAGTGGAGCTTTGAATGTGACTTAAGTTATAGCGGTGCAAATGGCCGTAAATCGGTTAAATTTGTTCACAATTGCTGTGACGTCACGTGCATCCCGGATTTTCAAGATGGCCGCTGATACGAATGATGTTCAGTTTGTGCTAACAATTATTTTATCGTAAATTCGGATTTATTTAAGTGTTATAAGTGTAATTTAAAGTTTCATTCAATGTGTGCATATGCATAAAAGACTCGTGGCAGTCGTGGCTGAAAATAATCGCGAAAACCCCAAGCATTTTCTGGTTTTAGTGGTTTTATAATACTAGATTTGTTGTATCAGGAAATCGTTTTCTTTTATTCGTGTGTATTGCTAGTTTTCTACTGTTAGTATTTCCTAGTCAAGCATTTGTATTGCTTTTTTTTTTGTAAATCAAATATCTACTTAGTTACAAGTTTCCTTTGTATGTAATTACTAAAAATTAGTGGTTATGAAGAGTGAATAAATAAATATGTAAATAAATTCCTTTACTGGCGCGTTTACTATGAAAACGCAT